AAAAATTCTACACAGCACAATACTCATATATTATGTAGCACAATATTTTACTGACTTTTGAACACTTAATATTTACTGCATTGCCATCATAAAAAAATCATGGAATAAATGCTAACATGGGGAAACAGCAGGAAAATTTAAGCTCAGCTTATTAACTGAATACTATGTACTTTACAAGTAAATTACAATATAATATCTAAGCTGAGGAGCATAATGACAAGTATAGTACCAATAGATTCATATTTCCAGCACCTATGCTCCCCACCAGTATTTATACCCCATCTACTTATTCTATACTATGAATTACTATAAAACATTTATTTATTCATGAAGAATGCTAATAGATCTATAAACATCCAAGATATTAATATTTCCATATATAGCGAGAGGATTTCACTCCTGACCTTGTTCACAATTGTTAGTGGCTTTACTTCTATTTGAAAATGCATATCCTCACAGCAATATTATGAAATCTAAGTGATGAAGTTATCTTCTAGGATGCAGTGTCAAATATGCTGGCATATTTATAAAGAACCCAAAGGGCTATTCTGAAGAAGCGAGTATGGACAAAATATCAAATTTGTTAAATAATCAAATCAACCTACATTTTTTTTTTTTTTTCAACAAGTCGGCCGTCTCCCACCGAGGCAGGGTGACCTACATATTCTTACTTATCAGTGAGTTACATTTTTCATGTGAACAAAGTGGCACATGATTATTACAGCCAGGTATAAATCAAGTTTGTTTTATAATATTTCATAGTCAAGAACTGGTTTCTGTAAAATTCAAACAACTCCATACACCACATTACCTATGTTTTCCCACCATTTCCAACTCTACTGTTACAACTATTTTGGTTTTCCTTACTCAAATTCTACTTATGCTTTTATTTATCCTTTCCAGGATCTATCATTCTTTTCACATTTACAAGTCATGTGAATAGGAATCTTTCTTGTTCTTTATTTATTCTCTTATTGCCTACCCATGATAGATATTCTTCCATACATCGTGGCATGTTAAGTCATGTCATCTGCCAACCTCCACCAAATCTAAATGTCCACATTTTTACTTTTCATAGTTTTTAAAGGCTGCAGAAAGTTCCTAATGCTCATAATTTCAGCCTGACTTTGAAATGATTCCTAAATCAAGAATACCTCACAGATACTTAGTAGTCTTTTATTCTTTCTAATTTTGTATCCACCAGTTAAATCATCCTCATGCTGGCATTTACCTTCAGCTTCCTAACAACCATTTTTTAAATGCCATTACAATATATCTCATGCAGTACCCTGTGCTAGTACAGTATCATCAGAAATTACTACTTACCACATAATTTCCACTTTGCAAGCTCCTTCATCCCTTTTCAACTGTATTCACTTACCCATACACTAGCCTTCTCGCAACTCCATGAAAACAAGGTTACTAAATACCTGTCTTGCTTCACCCACTATCCTAAACCAACTAGCACTTTCTGTGAAAATATTTTGATTATGTCAACCCAGATATATTCTATATAAGTTACTTATAAGGCCTGTCATACTAAATGTAGCATAAAATAATTTTTTTTTTTTGCTCTTTCATATTAAACATTTGGGGTATTAAGTATGCAGGGGTGTTTCCAAATTAAGTCAGCAGACAGATGAGAATAAGATAAATAGGACATAATACCTGATAAAATATGCTTCAACTGAGAACATTTTTACTAACCCAGAGAAAAATATACACTGTCAATCAAATATTGTTAAGATCAATGTGCTCCTACCTGGAAATTCTTTGGACAAACAACATATAAATTAATCCACAACTAACTCACAATATGGAGATGCTTCTGGCTGTCCTGGATTATCATCAGATCACTAGTGGTTGAACACCATCTCCAAATTGAAGATTTGTTGTCAATTGTTCAAGCATGGTAGTACTGTAGAGTTTTATCCATTAATATAAATGAATTTACTATTTAATTATAGAATGTTACGCTTAATAAACGCCTTCATATTCGCCAAAATCTATTAAATATTTATGCTGCATACAAGTAACTTTATTTAAAAAAAATTATAATGCAAATCAACTATATTTATGATACCTGTAAATGCTATTTAACCCTTTGACTGTTTTGGTCGTATATATATGCCTTACGAGCCAGTGTTTCGGACGTATTAATATGCATAAATTCTAGTGGCTTCAAATCAAGCAGGAGAAAGCTGGTAGGCCCACATGTAAGAGAATGGGTCTGTGTGGTCAGTGTGCACTACATAAAAAAAATCCTGCAGCACGCAGTGCGTAATGAGGAAAAAAAAAAACTGACAGTTTTTTTGGATTAAAACGCCGACTTTGAGCTGTATTTTTATATCGTATTTATCATCGTATTCTCGTTTTCATGGTCTCACATGATAAAATGGAAAACATAGAGATGATTTTGAGTAGTTTCATGATGAAAACGACCTTGAAATTGAGCTCAAAGTAGTGGAAATGTTCAATTTTTAACAATGTTCAGGAGTGAGCAGATCACACCACACGTCCAATACACATCAACTGGGGAGTCTAATATTCTTTCACTAATGTAGTAGCCTGCATAACAGTAAATTTTGTATTTTTTGTATGAATAAAAATATCAAAATATAATGCAATAGTAATATAAGAGGGGCCTAGAGATGTGGCTAATGAACAGAGGATATTTTATTTTAGTGCCAAGAATGTCTACATTGTTTATTCTGGACCCTATTTTGAAATTGGCATCTTTTTTAATTTGTGTGAAATTGGCCAAATTGCCAATTTCTGACCACTTTATTTGGTAGTTCAAATCGGTAAATGGGTGGTTTCTTGTACTCAACTGATAGAAAAAATGGAGTTCTAAAGAAATAGCTATGAGTTTGGTCAACTGGAACAACGGAATTGGCCAAAAACAGGGCTCAAATTCGGCGAAATCACCGCTGCGTATATGTCGCCGAGACCGCTAACTTCGCGGGAGCATAATTCCGTGAGTTTTCGGCCAAATTTCGTGCTTTTGGTGTCATTACCGTCAGGAAAAGATTCTCTATCATTTCGTAAGAAAAATAATTTTTTCAAAAAATTTTGCGACATAGAATGACAGTTTCAGAAAGGGGCTTGCGACAGTCAAAGGGTTAACGTATTAGCAATTTATGACACCAGATGCAGGTTACATAAAAGGTAAAAATGACCCCTCAAAACTACAAAGATTACTCAATTATATCCTTAGTAAAATGTTTTTAATATTACTTTCTCATGACATTCCTTCTTTGCTAGCTTATTTCCTTGACCACAAGTATCTGCAAGTTTTCTTTCCTTTACTTCAATGTTTGCTTAAAATCTAATCTTGTTAAATTTTCTCCTTGGAAACAAGCACCAAATAGTCTTATTAATTATCTTTGATTTATTTCACCTTTATGCTTGTATTTTTTATACAGGAAGCATTGTAAAATGTACATTTTTATTGTATTCGCTTCATGGAGGCTATTTCCCCATTATCTATAGATCATAACAAATGGTACCTGCAGATATTCTATATCATTTATTTCTAAATGGCAGTCTGTGTCATTGTAATAAGTATCAAAGTAATAATATACAAAATTTGAAATAGTGTGGTAGGACGATAGTAAATCAAAAACTCAGACAGAGCATGCCTTTATTAAAACTATGCTTTGCTAAGTGAGAGTTTTATCAAGTTACCCAAGAAAATTTAGTTTTAATAAAGACGTACTCTGTTCAAGTATCTTTGATACACTATGTGTCGGCTTTACTAAATATATTTCATGGTTAGAAGGTATTAAGACAGACTAGTAGATGCTGTGACTAAGCCATTACATAAGAAGTGTAAAGACACAAAGCAATAATTATTAGGACATAGGTTAGTTAGGTAAGGATACTGCAAGGACTCATCAAGGGAAAAATCTCCTCTTAGAAATGTTTCAAGTGCCAAAATACAAGAAAAACAAGAAATAAGGTAAAAGTGTATTCATAGGAGAAAGAGAGAAGTTAAAACAATACCCTTTCGCAAAGTGCACAAATATACAAGTGAATTATGCTACCTTTGTTTGTGAACTGATACACTATTTGAGTGTTCAGAGAGTTTACTCACTAGCATTGCAGGAGTAGATATTATAAATAGTATGGAGGGACATGGGAAAACACATTATGAAAGGCATTTAATGTGAGATAGACTAACCATACCCCCGGCCGGGATTGAACCCACGGTCATAGAGTCTCAAAACTCCAGCCCGTCGCGTTAGCCACTAGACCAGCTAGCCACAATAAGATTCATCCAACTAGGTATATTTCTACACCATAGGAAGGTTAGCACAGGCACCACTGTGACCACAAATGCAAGTTTTTACAGACGAATCTCCAGCTAGCGTGGCCGTGACGAACTCTAGCTCAAGTCCCTTCACTGCCGTCAACATGACTCAAGAAATCGTAATGACACGATTGCAAACAAACCATACCCCCCGGATTGACCCGCGGCGGTAAACTGGTCGCGTTACCACTACCTTGCAGCACAAAGATTGACCACTGAAAGGTATTTGACTAGAGTTACCGACCACGGCCACGCAAGCGAGATCTCCGTGCGTCGTGAACAACTTGCCAAATTCTTCACTGGTCACATGTCAAACCATTCCGTATGGATTGAAACAAACCTAGTTGGATGGATCTTACGATTTGCTAGTCTGTTAGCGGCATAACGGACTGGCTAGAGTTTATGGCTCATGACTGCGGGAATCCGCCGGTTGTATTGTTTTGTCACAGTGGTCCCGTTAACCTTCCTTGGAGTAGAAATATACTAAGAATCATGTGTAGTGTTAGTAGCTAAAATACCATTAACAACGGGTTAAATCCGCCGGGGGTCATGGTGTTGCAAATCGTGCCATTCATTCTAAGCAATGCAAGACAGTCATAAAAATATTAACACATTTTACTTTTTTGTCTAACAATAAGAAAGCATGATATGGAATTTATTTGTAAAATACATGCACTATATTATGTTAACTGAAATCAAAATAATTTTGATATACTAGTGTACATAATGTACTTTAATGATTAAGTTAATTTTATTTACTATCCATGAAAAGACAATTTTCTTGCATAAAACTCATCAAAAACATTTTGTATTGCATATCTTGGATACTTTCAGTGCCATATATAAATTAATAATTCTTCATTGCCTATCATTAACTTTGGAATACTGAAAATTTTAGATGTCTTCAAAAGCAAAATTACACCCAAAAAAATGTTTGTGTTCACTACTCTGACTAGTTATGGGCAATGTCCATTTACCCAAACAGTGTATTACTTTCATGAACATTATGTAAACAGTAAGATCTGCACTGACTAATTAACATAGGATACACACTCTTTCTATTAACTTTTGAAATATAACTCCTATCCATTCATTGAGAGCATTTTCATATAATAATTATTTTGGGACGATGTTGTAATTAAAAACATTTTACCATAAGTTACTAATTTCAATATCAACAAGTTCATAATATCTAAAGCTACAGTAAGTAATATTCCATATTTTGGCATAAACAACTCTAGGAAGATCTTGGACATATATTGAGATTCAGAAGGAGAATAATTATTGCTTAGTTTTTATCATTCACTTCAAAGTGTTTATGAGGCAACTTATCTGTGAGTAAATGAGGTCTGGGTCAATGTTCCTTCTTTACCACCACTACGCATGCCCCAGCACGACCAGTTGTCAACGGAGTCATCTGAAAGAAAATGCTGTGTTAAATTTTTTAATTGAGCTATTAATGCAATGGCCATGATGTCCATGCTCATTATATACAAAGTCACAGACAGAAACACACTTAATCATGCCCAACTACAAACCAACTCAGCATTATTCTTCCACAGTGAATATCCTATTTACTGCCATTAACTCATATGTTGTGCTGTATTTGTAATGCCAGAGAATGCTTACAACTCTCAAACAAAAAAAACTCAATTCTTCCCCCTTCCCCTACCACAAACAAAATTTACAACCCCACTACATCCCTCAGCCCCATCACACCAACATGACCTCCATTTCTTCAAATAAAATTTCTTGACCAGGAAAACATGTACATCATTTCATAACCATTCATTCTCTCCACACATATTCACTTAATGACAACTTTTTGGACTTTACCTCTCATTTCTGACATCATCTGATTTACACCATACTTCCTTAACCCTTTTATCTTTTGTTTCACTTAGTGCTTGGACATTCGGCTGCTTTTCATTCAAAAAACCTAAATAGTTCTTAATATCAGCACTATATCCATGCACATTCAAACAACTTAGCTTTAAAATTTCCTTCTTTTTCTTGTTAGTAATTGATGCAAAAATGGATTACCAGCCCTTTGATTCACACCCTCCCTCCAGCTCTTCCTGGGATGACCAATAGCCTTCCTTCCATCCTGGAGATAATCATATACCCTCTTGGTCATAATATTCGGCCCCATCCTCTAGAAAAACTCAAAGCACCTAAACAGCTTCTGCTCCACATTTATATGACAAGATGGTATTATCTCCCATGGTAATCTACCACCCAACTACCAATATTTATTTCTAACATTCGAACACGAGGATGGTGCATAACATGCAATTCTTCTTTTTTTTTTTTCAACAAGTCGGCTGTCTTCCACCGAGGCAGGGTGACCCAAAAAGAAAGAAAATCCCCAAAAAGAAAATACTTTCATCATCATTCAACACTTTCACCTCATTCACACATAATCACTGTCTTTGCAAAGGTGCCCAGATACAACAGTTTAGAAGCATATATAAAGATACATAACATACCCCTTCAAACTGCCAATATCCCAAACCCCTCCTTTAAAATGCAGTCATTGTACTTCCCATTTCCAGTACTCAAGTCCGGCTATATAATAATAATCGGTTTCCCTGAATCCCTTCACTAAATATTACCCTGCTCACACTCAACAGCTCATCAGGTCCCAAAAACAATTCGTCTCCATTCACTCCTATCGAACATGTTCACGCACGCTTGCGGGAAGTCCAAGCCTCTCTCCTACAAAACCTCTTTCCCCATCCCTCCAACCTTTTTGAGGACAACCCCTACCCCACCTTCCTTCCTCTACAGATTTATACGCTCTCCAAGTCATCCTACTTTGATCCATTCTCTCTAAATGACCAAACCATCTCAAGAACCCCTCTTCAGCCCTCTGACTAAAACTTTTAGTAACTCCACACCTCCTAATTTCCACACTCCAAATTCTCTGCATAATATCTGCACTACACATTGTTCTTAGACAGGACATCTCCACTGCCTCCAGCCACCTCCTTGCCGCAGCATATAAGAGTGTTGCTATTATACTTTCATACATTCCCTTCTTTGCCTCCATAGATAACATTTTTTGTCTCCACATATACCTCAATGCACCACTCACCTTTTTTCCCTCATCAATTCTATGATTAACCTCATCCTTCATAAATCCATCTGCTGACACATCAACTCCCAATTATCTGAAAACATTCACTTCTTCCATACTCCTCCTCCCCAATTTGATATCCATTTTTTCTTTATCTAAATCATTTCATACCCTCATCACCTTACTCTTTTCTATGTTCACTTTCAACTTTCTACCTTTACACACTCCCAAACTCGTCCACTAACCTTTGCAATTTTTCTTTAGAATCTCCCACAAGCACAGTATCATCAGCAAAAAGCAACTGTGTCAATTCCCATTCTGTATTTGATTCCCCATAATTTAATCCCACCCCTCTCCCGAACACCCTAGCATTTACTTCTTTTACAACCCCATCTATATATTAAACAACCATGGTGACATTACACATCCCTGTCTAAGACTTACTTTTACCGGGAAGTAGTCTCCCTCTCTTCTACACACCCTAACCTGATCCTTACTATCCTCATAAAAACTCTTTACAGCATTTAGTAACTTACCACCTATTCCATATACTTGCAACATCTGCCACATTGCTCCTCTATCCACTCTATCATATGCCTTTTCTAAATCCATAAATGCAATAAAAACTTCCCTACCTTTATCTAAATACTGTTCACTTATATGCTTCAATGTAAACACTTGATCTACACATCCCCTACCCACTCTAAAACCTCCCTGCTCATCTGCAATCCTACATTCTGTCTTACCTCTAATTCTTTCAATTATAACCCTACCGTACACTTTTCCTGGTATACTCAGTAAACTTATTCCTCTATAATTTTTACAATCTCTTTTGTCCCCCTTCCCTTCATATAAAGGGACTATACATGCTCTCTGCCAATCCCTAGGTACCTTCCCCTCTTTCATACATTTATTAAACAAAAATACCAACCACTCCAACACATATCCCCCCCTGCTTTTAACATTTCTGTCATGATCCCGTCAGTTCCAGCTGCTTTATCCCCTTTCATTCTACGTAATGCCTCACGCACCTCCCCCACACTCACATCCTGTTCTTCTTCACTCCTAAAAGATGGTATACCTCCCTGAGCCTCACTATCCTCATAAAAACTCTTACAGCATTTAGTAACTTACTACCTATTCCATATACTTGAAACATCTGCCACATTGCTCCCCTATCCACTCTAACATATGCCTTTTCTAAACCCATAAATGGAATGAAAACTTTCTTACCTTTATCTAAATACTGTTCACATATATGAAAAAGAGGATAAATAAATATACAAGGTATGATATAGCACATAATGAAAGTAGTTTATTAGATTATGTATTGGTGGATAAAAGGTTGACGGTTGGGCTCCAGGATATACACATTTATAGAGGGGCAACTGATATATTGGATCATTATTTAGTTGTAGCTACAGTTAGAGTAAGAAGTAGATGGGACAAGAGGAAAATGACAACAACAAGTAAGAGGGAGATGAAAGTGTATAAACTGAGGAGGAAGTTCGGGTGAGATATAAGTGTACTTCAGTGGTTAGTGAAATTGAAGGTACCTCTGAATTCCCTGCTAATCAAGGTAAGAATATTTTAATAGTAGGCGATTCTCAAGTAAGATATATGGACCGTGCATTTTGTAACAGAGACAGAAAGGTCAGACAGAGAGTGTGCCTTCCTGGAGCTGGTGTTGGTGACATAGTCAGCAGGTTGGATAATATTATGGCAGGTAATGGGAACAAGCCCATTATCTGTCTTAGTGCTGGACATAATGACATTGGGAAGGGCAGGAGAGAGGAGCTGCTGGATAAGTACAGGTCAGCCATAGAAGTAGTTAGGTCTAAGGGAGGGATCCCAGTCATATGTAGCATCTTGCCTAGAAAGGGAGTGGGCAATGAATGGATGTCTAGGGCAATTGGTATAAATTGCTAGCTAGACAGGTACTGCAAGGAACTTGCAATCCCATTCATTGATAACTGGGACCTATTCTTTGGCAAATGTGATATGTATGCAAGGGATGGGGTTCATCTCTCTGGGGTTGGAGTGGTTGCATTAGCCAATTCAATTGAGAGGGTAACTGATGACTTGTCTAGGAATTTAAACTGATAGATTATAGAGGTATGGGTGTTTGTGGGAAAAAATCAGGCTGCAGCATTAGGGTTAAAAACAGCAGTTATTACTGGGATACCTCAGGGATATGTTTAAAAGACAATATTCAAAATAAAGTTGCTAGTAATGGCAAATCAATTGATCAACAAAAAAAGAGAGATAGTAGAGGGCAACGAGTGACTAGCTCCCTTAAGGTTTACTATACAAACAGTAGGAGTCTAAGAAATAAGATAGATGAGCTAAGATTACTTGCAAGTGTAGGTAATACATGTATAGATATTATTGGTATAACAGAGACCTGGTTCAACCTGAAAGATAGAGAAATGCCTTCTGAATGCAACATACAGGGTTATAAACTATTCCACACTGATAGGGTCAACAGGAAGGGTGGTGGAGTGGCGATGTATGTCAGAGAAAATTTAAATTGTTGTCTTAGACATGATATAAGATTAGAAACATCGAACACTGAATCTGTTTGGCTACAGTTTCTCGAGGGACGTGACAAATTAATTTTGGGTGTGATTTATAGGCCTCCAATCCTTGATAGGGAGTGCAGTAAGCTGTTATGGGACGAAATTCATAAGGCATCTAGATATGAAAATGTTGTGATAATGGGAGATATTAACTTTAGACAAATTGATTGGAACAACATGACAGGAAATCTTGAGTCTAGTGGCTTTCTTGATACGGTTCAGGATTGCTTTTTAGAACAGGTTGTGACAGAACCAACTAGAGGAAACAATCTGCTTGACTTGGTTCTTGCCAACAAAGATTCACTAATTAATAATCTTAAGGTTAATGATGAGCTTGGGTAAAGTGATCACAAATCACTTAGTTTCAATATATCATGGAATTACCCAGATAACTACAATCACATCTCTGTCCCAGATTTTCGCTTGGCTGACTTCATGGGACTGAAAAATTTGCTGGGTGGGCTAAATTGGGATGTCCTGACTATGGGTCAGGTAGGTGATCTACGTTGCCAATATGACGTTTTTCAGAACATAGTTCTAGCTGCCCAGACAACTTTTGTTCCAAGTAGGGAAATTAGATCTAACAAAAATGATCCCAAATGGATGAACAATAGATTAAAACATCTCATTGGTCAAAAGAGAGGCATATACAGGCATATCAAAAGAGGGGATGAGCAGTTAAGAAATCAATATATTCAATTAAAGGTAGAAATAAAGAAAGGAATAAGAAAAGCAAAAAGGGATTATAAGGCTAAGGTT